TCCACACAGGCCTCCAGGGAGGTTCGGAAAGGAAGGTGGATGAGCTGTGCCAGCGTAGGCTGTTGGCATAATACGATCCCTGGATGCAAAGTTTTCTGCAAGAGGTGGGTTTTACCCTCATTTAGGTTGGAAAAGCCATCTAAGACCATCGAGTCCAACCATGCCCCCAGCACTGCCAAACCACCGCTAACCCATGTCCCCAGGTGCAACATCCACACGACTTTTAAACCTTTCCAGGGATGGGGACTCCACCCCTGCCCTAGGCAGCCTCTGCCAGGGCTGGACAGCCCGTTCAGGGAAGAAGTTTTCGGTCATATTCAACTTAAACCTCCCCTAGTGCAACTTGAGGTCATTTTCTCTTGTCCTGTCCCTTGTTCCCTAGGAGCAGAGCCTGACTCCCTCTGGCTTCACCCTGCTGTCAGGGAGTTGCAGAGAGCGAGAAGGTCCCCCCTGAGCCTCCTTTTCTCCGGGCTGAGCCCCCCCAGCTCGCACAGCCACTCGTGGTGCTCCAGACCCTTCCGCAGCTCTGTTCTCTCCTCTGGACATGCTCCAGCCCCTCAATGTCCTTCTCATCACGAGGGGCCCAGAACTGACCCCAGGACTCGAGGTGTGACCTCAGCAGTGCCCAGTACAGGGGGGTGATCACTACCCTGGGCCTGTGGCCACACTGTGGCAGGTACAAGTCAGGTGCCAGTGCCCCCCCGGGCCCATGTCCAGCCCCCGGTGACCAGCGCCCCCCGGGCTCCCCGTTCCAACGCAGAAACGAAAGCGAAAGCGCACAGGTCGATCTGCCCGCAGTGCGCAGGCGCGCAGATGGCTCGCACAACCTCGGCTGTCCCTCTCTGCCCGGAGACTGATGACGCGACGGGCGCTCCGCGCTTCGATTGGCCGCGGGTTTCCGAGGATATAAAAGGCGGCGCGCGAGTAGTGCGGGACAGTCGGTGCCGCGGGGAAAGACTCTGCGATGGAGCGGAGCGTCCTGTGGTTCGCGGCCCTGGTGCTGCTGGCCCTGCTTGGCCCGGGGGACGCTGCCGATCGTGAGTAACGGGGACGGCGTGAAGGGTCCTGCGAGGGGCAGGGAGGGCGAGGGGCTGGGGGGCCCAGGTCTCGGGGAGTGCGGTCACCGTGTCGGGGTGGGTGGGTGCATCGACGGGATGCCCAGCGTAGCCCCGCTTCTCACACCGCCCTCGCCCCCCTCTCCAGAGCCGCCGAAGGTCGAAGTCTACGCCCGTACACGCGCCAAGGAGGGACAGGCGAACACCCTCCACTGCTTCATCACTGGATTTCACCCACCCAAGATCAAGGTGGAACTCCTGAAGAACGGCGAGCCCATGACCGGCGTCGAGTATGGGGACTTGTCTTTCAACGAGAAGTGGCAGTTCCAGCGCCTGGTCTACGTGCCCTTCACCCCTACGAAGGGCGACATCTTTGCTTGCAGGGTGGAGCATTCCACCATGTCGGAACCGAGGATCTACCGATGGGGTACGCTCTGCCTTCTTCCTCCGGCTTCCGTTTGCGTGCTGGAGCTCGTTAGTTTATATCCATGGTGTCTCTCTTCTTCTTTCTGGGAAGCAGGGTGTTATAGCAGGGTGGGTTTTGAAGGTCTTGTGTTAGAGATGGAAAGTTAACTCGGTTTCAGCTGTAAAGGCTGTTATACATATCCATGAAGGATTCAGGGTGGGAGTGCCTTGGTGTTGGGGGGATTTGTGGGGGGATTTTGTTGTTGTAGGGATTTGGTGGTGCTGTGTTGTCCAGTATCGGTGAACTCACCTAGATGAGTCACACAGTGATTTGGGCTTTACCTTCAGAATATAAAGGCCACAGCAGTGGGAACTGTAGTGGCGACCCAGCCGAGGGCAGATCTCTGGTTACACCCAGTAGGGGTGGGCTTGTGGGTACTTCGGGAGGGGGTGCCATTTGCCCCAAAGCCTAACGCTCCACCCTTCTTCCCTGCAGAACCAGACTTCTGAGCTGTGTCTGGGGTAATCCACGGTGAGTTATGCTGATGCTGCTTTCTGTGCTGGTAAGGGAATGTGGACCCATTTCCGTAGGGGGGAGAGTGTGTAACTTGCAGAGTTGAGGAACAGAAGCAACCATCCCCAAAAAGCAGATGATGTTACTGCTGATTGGGGCACGAGACTCTCCCCACACTCCTTCTACCCACTATTTCGGCCTGTTCTCGGCCATCCCTTGCCTACAGGAGTCTAAAGAAAGGAGACCCTTGGAGAAAACCTTCCATGTCTTTGCTGTGTCTGCCAGGTACCGTTGAGAGTTGTCACACGTCCTCTAATGCTTCTTCAGGCCCCACAGTTCCACTTCCTCGCTGGGGAGGAGGCAGTTGCTGTGCCTGGAGACCCATGCCTTGGGGGAAGCAGGCTGGTTAACTCTGTGGCAGACAGGCAGCACAATGTGGGATTTATGAAGCACAAACTGGAAGCAGTTTTTGATTTATTACCAGTGTCTCAGAGTTCGAGGGTTCCATGTTCTTCAGATTATATTCTTGTAACTGATGTGGATTTAGCAACAGGGAAGTTCCAATTCAACCCTTGATCGGAAGAAAACTGAAGATATGTGTCTCAGCTGACGTAATACGCTGGCTGAAACGACTTAGATAAGTGCCCTGGTAGAGGCTGGATAATGATTAACTGTGCCCAGGACAAGCCTTGGCAGGACCTCACTTGAAATGCCCCTACTCTTGTAGAGCTCTACAAAGTTGTATATGGCCACTTATCTGGTTTGTTGCTTGCTTTTGGGCAGCGGGGAGGGGAACCTGGCCTCAGGGCAGGGTCTGAGATGTGCTGTGCCCAAGTGGCATCGTGGCTTAGGTTGGTGGGACATCAGCCTGGAGGTCACCGATGGTGATGGATGCCAGCCTTGGCTGGAGGTGGGACATGGGCAACTTCACTGGAGTCTGGTGACAAGGATTTACTGAGCTGGGGTGGAGGAGCTGAGAGCAGGATAAGCTGCCTGGGGTGAAGAACAAGGATCCTCTTGACTTGTTGGACTCTGAACCCCACCAAGGAAGGGACAGAAAAGCAGTTTCTGCAGGAGTTTTATCTCACCAGAAGGTGGGTCTGTGCCTGCAGCTGAGATGCTGCAGTCAAGAGTGCTCTTGAGGAAATCATTTTTGACTCCTAAAATAATTATAGTTGAAGCTGTGACCAGAGTGATTGATGTCCATCTCCTCTCTCTATGCAGGTCCGAAAAATTCTTCTTGCAAATCAAAGTCTTCTCAAGCTTGTGTCCAGTCTTCATCATAACCACAAGAGTGATTATCTTGCTTCAAGGAATTCTTTAATAATGCTTGTCAAGATATCTTTTGCATGAAGCAAAAAGGGAGCTCTGGAGGCTTTTTGAGCACATAGCTATAAATGCCTACATTACTGCTTAAAAACAATTTTAGCTCTGAAGTGCTCAAAATTGTACAGGATTTTTATCTTAATAAAATTGTAGCCATTTAAATGTTTTTTTTTCAGAATCATTGGACAACTGAGCTAATTTCAAGGGCTCCAGTGGCCACTGGGTTGTGAGTGAATCTGGAGCCTGATGACCCTGATGCTCATTTGTGCTTTTTTATCCTACTGAGAAGGTGTAAAAACACTTTTCCACCAATAGAAAAAAAGAATTAAAGATTTTTTTGGTTAATGTGGTATCTGCCTGGTTAGAGGCTCCTGCGCAGCTCCGAAGGGAAGGAATAAGGTTTAAAAAAAGGGGTTAAGAAACCTTGGGGATGTGGGGCGGGACGCGGAGTGAGGGGCAGGGAATGGTGCCCACTCGAAGGGGGAGAACTCCAGATTGTGCATCTTGGGGTACAATCCAGATCAGCCTCTAGGATGGTCATGTGTTGTTCTGAGCCTGGGGAAAGTGTGTGTCAGCAAACTTCAGTTCTGTTTTTCTGTTCTCTGTGGCTGACCCTGTGGAGAAGAGCAATTAGGGGCCAGTCATCTGTTACACCATGGAGAGTTGATGCCAGTACCCAAAACCAGTGCTATTCCCATCACCCTGCTTTTATTTTCTGAAGGAATCAGTGTGATTGCTTGAGGAGTGTTGGAGTGAGGTGAATCTGACCAGTGTGGATCTTGTGTATGTGAACAAGGGTCCCTGGAGACGGGGGTTGCATGTCTCATCTTGATATATTAAGATTTGCTGTGATGCAGAACACCCACTTGAGATTTTTGAGGGATCTTGTTCTGTAGTTTTTTTCATTATAACTGCGTTCCAGCATCTGAGTGGGAGGTTGCTGGGATGCAGGGCCTGGTTATGGTGATCCATTTGGGCTCATCAGAGTGTTCAAAACAAAACCAAGAGAGGTGAGGTGGTCACAACTGGGTGGTCATGTACAGGGCTTGTCACCCAGCATGGGACAGCAGGACCTACCAGAGCCACCACACGGGACTGGCCAGGGACTGTGCCAGTCCCAGCAGTGGTCCTTGTGTGGGAGAAGATGGTCTGGGAAGGAGGAAAAGCTTTGGACTTCTCCCCCAGAGACCACTGCAGAGCAGCTCAGTCTGCTGCGTGAGCCCAAGGAACTGTGGAGCAGATTCTGGGCTCCTTCTGTATCACAAAGGGCCACCAACGTGCTTTCCACCACCTTGGCTCCACCTTTACTATCCTCAAGAGCATTAGAGAGTAATGGCTGGGTAGCCCCTCCACCAGGAAATCTTCATCCTAATTAGTACACAAGTGGAATCGACTGCGGAAGCTGAAGACACTGTGGAGGCAATGTGGGACAACCCATCTCCAAAGGATGTGTCAGCACCTTCCCACACGGGGGAAGTCTTTGCCCTCATTGCATGTCTGGCATTTTTCTGGTCTTACTTAGGAAATGTTTTGATGGTTTACTGAGAAATCCTCTGTTTGTGGGAGAACAACACATGACCATCCTAGAGGCTGATCTGGATTTCAGTATCTGGAAACACCCGCTCTGTTTTATCCAGCATCCTTGGGGTTCCAAGATACCCAAGATATGTCACTGCTGCTGGCTCTTCATCGGCAGTTCCCAGCAGACGGGATATCCTGAGAGATATCTTGGGAAGTTTGAAGCACGAAACAAGCCTCGTTTTTGCCTTATAAAATGCAAGCAAATCTGCTGCAAGCCAGCTGTTTCCTGAGTCAACAAAATATGTGTGGTTTTGGGAGAAAAACTTCTAGAACAACTTAGGATCCACAGGGCTCGAGTCCAGCTCCTGGCCCTGCACGGGACACCCCAACAATCCCACCCTGTGTCCGAGGGCATTGTCCAAACACTCCTTGAGATCTGATAGGTTTGGGGCCGTGACCGCTGCCCTGGAGAGCCTGTTCAGTGCCCGACCACCCTCTGGGGGAAGAATTTTTCCCTCATATCCAGCCTAAACTTCCCCTGGCACAGCTCCATGACGTTTCCTTCCGCCGTCCCGCCGCCGGGGTTTCCGCCACTGTCGCCTCTCAGGCTCCTCCCGCCTCGCCTCAGGGCGTTCCCGCCTCCCCTCAGGGCTGTTTCACCTCCTCTCAGGGCTGTCTCGCCTCCCCTCAGGGCTGTCCCGCCGCGATGTTCCGAGGCCGCCGTGCCTGGTTCTCGCAGAGCGTCAGCCCCGGCCCTCGGGGGCTCTGGGGTGAGGGGAACCGGCGGCGGCAGAGCCCGGGGGGAAGTCCCGGCGGCATCGAGCCGGCAGGAGCCCGCGGGGGGATGGAGAGGGGAACACAGCCCCGTCACCCCTCAGTGGGGCGGAACAGCGTGGGGAGGCACAGCCCCGTCACCCCTCAGTAGGGATCGAGGAGGGGGGGCACAGCCCGGTCACCCCTTGATGAGGGCACAGCCCCATCATCCCTTGGCAGGGCAGAGCAGGAGGGGTACAGTCTTGTCACCTCTCAGTGGGGGTGAGGAGAGGGGCACAGCTTCATCACCCCTCAGTGGGGCAGAGCAGAAGGCACACAACTCTGCCACCCATCAGTGGGGATGAGGGTGGGGAGGGGGCATGACCCCATCACCCCTTGGTGGGGGTACAGCCTCAGCAGCCTCAGTGGGGATGAGAGGGGAACACAGCCCCGTCACCCCTCATTAATGGCACAGCAGTGGAAACACAACCTTGTCACCCCTCGGTGGGTCTGAGCCCCCCACAGCAGGCAGAGCATGGGTTTGGCCAGCTCCACCTGTACCGGCGCAGCCCATGGTGCTCCCACACTGAGGAAAAACCCTGAACCCTCAGAGGGGCAGTGGGAGTCCCACAGCCATGGCAGGGCCACCACACCTCCCACTACAGGCCCCATCCCTGCAGCCCCACAACCAGACATCCCCACTACAGGTCACCCCGAAGTGGGAACCCTCTGGGATGCCCACCCTCCCCTCACCCCCTGTCCCCCCACAGTGGCCGGCGGAGGGGCACTGACCGACTGGCTGGATGCCGAGTACCTCTTCAGCAGCGATGCCACCCACCCTGACACACGTAGGTGGGTGATGGAAGCATTTGTCTGTGGCTTTAATGTATTTAGTGGGAAGTATTTCCTGGATACTGACATCCTATAAAAGTCAGCGGGGTGTTTTTAAAGTCTTGGTACGGATCTGCCGGGGTTTTACTGCCTGGTGGAGTCAGGAAACTCACATCCATGCTACACTGTAAGCAGACAGAACAGAAAAAAAACATCCATGTGTTGAGCTGGGCTTAACTCTGATATAAATGACACTAATTGTACTGGTTTCTCACTGCCTGTGAATTATCTGCTGGAAAAACAGGGTCTAAAACAGAAGTGACACCATCCCCAAGGAAGGAACCCAGAGGTAAAAAGCTGGTGTGAGTTAACTCTGAAAGGAACCATGGGGTAAAAATGGCTGGGAAAGGGCAGAAATGCTTAATATAAAAGATCAGAGAGTTCCAGAACATTCGTACAAATGTAGGGAAAGACTTCTCACTTCCTCAATATCAGTGAATATTATTTACTGTCATGTAAATATATTTATGGTAAAGGGTGCTGCGATGCTTCCAGCAGGCTTTACTAGGCTGGATTAAGCAGCTTCTTTTTAACACACCAATGCTTAGAACTGGTTTAGATTTTGCTCAAGCTGCGCAAGAGGGGAATCCCGAGAAACCCGGAATAACAACATTCTTTCTGCCACACTTCCTGCCTGACTGCACTGTTCCCCCAGGGGAATTATATATAACTATATATTGTGTAAATATGTATAAAATACATAATCAATCTATGTACTCAGATAATTTCTTGGGGAAAATGTAATCATTATCCATACCGTTAAACCCAGCAAACAAGATTTAGTTCCCCTCTAAGGAGGACAGTGAGGACTTGAGCACCCTCCACCCACCATTCTTCGCTCAGCTGTGTGAGCAGAGACCAGCAGGGAGAAGAATAAATAAAGGAAAGTCATGTTTTTGCCCTCCCTAAAGGAGTTTCACTTCAAGAGCAGAGTGAGGCCACTTAATCCCTACAAATATGTTTACCCAGTCCATGGTCTCCTTCCTTCAGGCTGCTGGCAGCTGGAATCCCATAGAT